ATACGGAATTTCACTGCGTAGGTGTATCGAATAGCATTTACATTTTTTTCTCGTGGAGTCAATGGTCTTGAATGGACGCAAAATTGGGCCATCAGCCCGCCCTTGTTTACGGCTGCTTCCTATTACAGTCTTTCTCCGTCCTCGCTCAGCGTCTCGCGCCCACCAAGCCTTCGACTCGGCTGGTTAACCTATAACACGGATTCCGCCTGTGCTTAGCGTCGGCATCGAGATTTGGACCAGGATTGACTTGGGATAGCGAGTGTGAAAGGTATGTGCAAACCCATTAGACAATTGTTCCCCTTCCGGTGCCACAAGCTCGCACTTTCACGGGTCAAAGAAGTTAGGCATCCGCCGGGGGCTCACTGTTCGACACGAAAAAAATTGAAGTGCGAACAGGCGCGTACGCCGAAAACGTGTCTACTTTGCTTCCGGGACGAGACGCTCCTGCCGTTATATTCGCTGTGCTACCGGTGGCCCTTTCGGTTCTCTGATACGCTGGCTCCTCAGATCCTACTCAGCATCAACCAACGACGTCTCGGAGGTACGTCGACTGTGCATCTTTCTTCGTCGGCTCACTGTGCGTGTTCCGCAGTCTACTACTTAGGTCTCTGACATGTTCACTTCGCCATACTATCGTGCCCTAATGCTCCTGCTTTGAAAGGTACTGCTCATGGCAGAAGCGACCGCGACCTTCAAGGATATTCCCGAACTCTTCGAGGTGCGCCGAACATTTCTTCCTCCGCGGCTGCCACTAATGCGCATCTCCTCCACGCAGGTCGACCTAGGCGAATCGCTCACCGCCCGCACCGAGAGCCTCTGTGAGTGTCTCCGCGTGTTCCCCCAACACGCATCCCGCCGCTGACGCCGCGCAGCGACGTTCAGGGAGCTCGGTCCACCTGACCTGTGCCACGTTGTCAAAAGCACGGGCAAGACTGGCCAGCGCGACCTCGGCTCGTACCACTTCGTCTCGGGCGTTGACGCCTCGTCGTCCGCGTCGCTCGCCGCGTACATCAACTCGCTCACGTACGCGATCGAGGACTCGTCCGCGTGGTTCTCCAAGACGCCCGCGTGGAAGGTGCGCAACGGCTGCTACTGCTGCTTCAACGCCTTCTCGCGCGTCGACTTCCGTGTCGACGTCAAGATACCCGGCGGCGTGAATGCGTATGTGGTCGATCTGCGCGGGGAGCGGTGCGTCGGCTCGGCGTTTTTTTTTTGGATGCATCGAGGACTGATCTTGGCGACCCAGGCACGAAGCGACCGCGGACATGTGGCAGGAGACGTACGTCTCCGCGCTCCTGCGCGCGATCCTCTATTCCGACGACCCCGCGCACGCCCTCGATGCGTACCGCAAACTCGACCCCATCACATCCCCCGAGGGCGAGCTGCGCTTCCTCGCTGCCGCAGAGGCCCTGTTTGTCAAGGGTGTGTTGTGCCCTTCCCTCTGTTCCCCTGCTGACCGTCGCGCGCAGGCTGGCAAGTCGGCTCCGACCCCGAAATACAAGTCGCGTCCCTGACAACGAACCACCTCACCGCCGGGCTGCTCAAGTACTTTGGCACCTCCGGGCGCTACCAGCAGGCCGCGAACCTCTTCGAGAAGCTCGCCGCGCGCGAACCCGAGGTCGCGTCCCTCCTCGCGCGCGCGTACATTGGCATGCGTGCGTCTGCTATACTCTTTCAATGTCGCATCCGCTGAGTGCCTCACAGACGAGGAGGTGAAGGCGCTGCAGATCATGTCGTCCGCGCTGCGCAATGCGCCAGGCCCCGCGTCGTACACGCTCCTGCACGTGCAGTGTGACTTCCTGCGCGACAAGGGCCGCGCGGACTGGGCGCTGAAGCTCGCGCGCCAGGCGGTCAATGCTGCACCCAGCGAGTTTATCACGTGGGAGAAGCTCACAGAGGTGTATGTCGAGCTCGGGATGTTTGAGTCGGTGAGACTGCCCTCCTGCTGTGGTCCTGACTCTAATGTTCACATTTGTTTTTTTTTTGACTAAAAGGCGCTGCTGACGCTCAACTCGTGCCCAATGTTCACATTCAACGGTCGTGACGCGCACCGTGCGTTGACACCTGCGCGGGTGCACCTGCCGTTCCATCGCTCTATAGGCGAGATTTTGCCAGATCGTGTTAAGACGGAAGACGACGAGGTACGTTCTGTCGTTGACATATTCACCACGAAGCTCTACTTGAATCATTCACTCTCTTCCCTCTCTACAATTCCCTGTTCCCTGTCTTCCCAAACGATCTTCTAGCGACCCTCCCTTCTTTTATTTACGCTGCAGTTTGTCTCGTCGACTGACCACTTCCGCAGGCCGACCCCGCTCTGCAACGTCTCCCCGCACCGGGGCTGCGCGGCACCTGGGCACGAGCGTATGCGCTCCTCACGCGGCTAGTAGCGCAGATCGGTTGGGACGAGCTCCTCAAGACGCGGAGCGCTGTGTTCGTTATGGAGGAGGAATACCGCATGCAGAAGGCGCAGGGCGACTTTACACATGCCCGCACGGAGTCGGCGGAGGGGACGCCCCTCGCGGAGAACGGGGAGGACGACGCGTCGACACGCGGGATGGTAAGCCCTGGGGGGAGCGCGGTGTCAGCCGCGAGCCCGGTGAGCGCGCACGCACCGGAGGTGAATGGGAATGGGAACGAGCACGGGATCCCGACGATTCGCGTGTCGACGGAATCGGACCGCGAGAAGGATCTGCAGAACGATAAGGAGAATGGGGCGGCGGCGAACGCTGCGGATGCGCTCGAGCGGCCCGTGCAGGCTGCGGCAGGCGACGAGGAGGGGGATGTAACGGGTGCGGACAAGGATGCGCAGAAGAAGGCGAAGGAGCCGGTGTCGCCCCTGCCGCAGGAGCCGTTCTCGTTTAGCAACAAGCGACTATGCGAGCGGTGGCTGGACAACCTATTTATGGTGCTGTACGAGGTGGGCGTTTGCTTCGTTCACACCGAGTTCTCTGAGCTGACCTGCGTTAGGATTTGCGGGTGTGGACGATCTTCCGCGCGGAGGTGGCGCACTTTAAGACGCAGCATGTCGCGTATCGCAAGACGGGGCTCGAGTGGGAGATTCTGGGCGACCTGGGGATGCGGCTGCACCACAAGGAGGAGGCGAAGGAGGCGTACCAGCGTTGTCTTGACACCCCCGCTATTCTGTCAAGCCATGGAGCAAGCTCATGGGGATGTACGCGGACGAAGGTGACATCCAGAGGTCGATACAGACCGCCATCCGCGTCGCGGCGTACCAATACGCCGAGTATACCGAAATGACGGTGCATTTCATGTCAGACCTCATATACAAGGTCGCTAATACATGGCACACAGTTCCCGACACATATTGCACAATGCTTCTTCAAGCTGGGACAGGTCCACGGCCATGCCAAGATCTCGTATACCCTGCTCAGTATGGGCCTTCCGGAACCGATTCTCAAAATTATGGACAGCTACTTGCAATACGGCACAACCTTCAAGGTCGAGGGTTACGATTCTAGTTTCCTCCAAAAAAATGGCGGCATGACGCTGCATATTTCGGCTTAATACGTGGTGTGCTATCATACTTTCCCCTTTTTTCGTACGATTGCTAGATGCTGGGTCTCCTGTAAAAGTGACAGCAGCGCTGCTGCATATCTTACTTAATACGCGACATGTTATCTGTTTTTCCTTGCGTCTGCATTGCGATTCTGGAGAAGATTACAAGTGAATAACAGTAGGTAGCTTATGCGGTACAGTATACAGGGAAGTTCAGGCTCTACGGCGGGGGCACCTTCCAGTACTCGCTCGGCGCGAATCCCCCCTTCAGCACCGCCACAGTGTTGCGAGCCGTAGTGCGCAACGGGCCCACGCCCTCGCCGTTCGAACCCTCGTCGAACCCCGTGCCAAGCTTCCGCGCGAGTTCCTGCACGCCCTCGTCCTCGCGCACCCACGCCCCATCGCGCGCCTCGTCCGCCCACCACTCCACGGCGCGTGTGCGGAGGGCTGGTACGCGTAGTACAGCACCACGGAGCAGCCGCAGGAGTTGCAAACGCATGGCGTTGTGCTCTGCGGCCCGGATCGCTGCGAGTGTCGGGTTCATCATCGCCGCGGGCGATGCGGACGGTGGCAAAATGTGCACGAGTGGCGGTAGCACCAGGAAGAGGAATTGACGGAGTCGGTACAGGTTGTCGTGCCACTACGCGGGCGAGTTAGACATTAGAGTATTAATGGATATGGTGCGGGGCGTGCCATGAAGACCGGTTCATCGTTTTTGGGAATTTTTATGGAGACGGTGGATATCCAATAAACCTCGACGCAAAACGCCCGGCGAGGGCAGCGACTGCAAGTGTACGGTAGCGCTCGCGTCCGGAGGAGCTGATGGTCACGAGCTGTGGCGAAAGTTGTTCAACGTGCCGGGTGTGACTGTATGGTACTTGACCTACCCCGACGACGGCCGTTTCGCGAATGTATGAGATCAAGGTACGTGGCAGCGCGAACAACCCGAATTCCTCGAACGACAGGCAATAATCGCACGTCGAACGACCGAGTGGCCAAAGCTGAGAGCGAGGTAATTTAGACAATAGTGAAGGCGCGTATCTGACGCACCGAACATAATACGTCTTGACGTCGAATGACCCAAGGTGTTTGAGCAGCGTCTCCAGTGGCTTGGGAAGATCTCCCGTGTCCGATTGCTGAAGCAGCAACTTCGGATTGCGTCCGCAGGTGTATTTAACGGAATCTTCAGGCGCGTAAAAACGTTGAGGGGCTGCAATACAATGATTTGAATAGAAAGTAGAGCGTGTGCAACAGGAGAAACACATTGAGCAGAACCTGGTGGACGTCAAGGTCGCCTAGGTGAATTGTGAAAGCCGAAGTAGAACCACGGGCGCAGACACTGGCCGCGGTGGCGACGAAAAGATGAGGGAGATACCCGCAGCCATCGCGTCAAGGAAGAAAGAGACAGACACGTCGACGCGACATACGAAAGAGACCACGTGACAAGTTTCCGGAAAAAAAGCCCCCGAATTGGGACAAAATGAGCCCACCCAGGATCGAACTGGGGACCTTTTGTGCACCAATAAATTGTAAGACAAACGCGATAACCACTACGCCACGGACCCTTCTCCAGGTTTTGAGCCGTAGCATCACAGTCGTGTTCTGTAACGGACGGCCAGAAGGAAGCGTCCGTTTACATAATTAACCTTTTGAACTATAACCACAACTTCTTCAGTAATGGCCGACCAGTCTCTTGCTCCCCGACGCTCAGCTCGCAAAGTTAAGCCGACGCAAATTCAGGCGCCAGTGGAGACTGTACCAGCAAAGCGCAAAGCCAAAGCAGAACCCGATCCTGCTGAACAACTGCACAACTTGCTACAAAATCCTAAAAGCCGCCTTACGAAGATGGACATATCTGTGCGTTTTCAACTGCAGAACCAATCGCCGCTCAAAAGATGTTCGGTAGGATCTCATTAATGTCAACTCCTGGAATATGCTTTCGCCAGAGTCACAATCTGTGCTTTCAACGTTGCTTCCTCCTACTGCTTTCCGTTCTTTTCAACCTTCTCTTGCCGCGGATCATCCTGCAGCTGGAGATTCGATGAAAGTAGACTCCGAGGTTTTAGGCTCCCCTGATACATCGGTATTCACCGACGCACATTTTCTTGCTGCGGCGCACACGTTCCAGGATCACCTCTATTCCAATTGGTTGTCCGATGCGCATGCAGATAAGGTCAAAAAGTATGAACAGGGAACAAAGACGGAAGTCTTGCTGCCCCGTGGAAAGACGAAGTCTGGGAACGCAACAATCAACCAGAAGATCCCAAGGTGACAATCATGTCCATACATCTTCCGCTCTCGCAGGGTACGCGTCTTCTACGCCCCGGATGCTTTTGACCTCACGATTGTTTCCAGGGAGGCCGCAGAACTCAAGCTCGTCGATCTGGCGAAGAATTCGGTCCTGCGTAAAGGAGATGTAATCGCTTATAGACGTAACTTCTCAAACCTCAATATCGTCGTGGAGAAGGATGTGATAGTGAGGATTTTTGCTTGCCTCGAATACTCCTTTCTTATACGGAATACCTTACCAAGATCCAATCCATTCACCCGCGCAACCACAGCTTGACCGTGCTGATCGAGCCAGGTACTACGCGTGATCTCCCAGTCCACCTCCTGATGCCGAACCCCTCCGACCCCTCCGACCCAACGCGCAGCATGACGGTAATGAGTCCCTCACAGCTTGAAACCGGTCTGCTAGATATCGACGGCCGAGTCGAGAGGGCCAGGAGGCCCAACGGCAATGCATGGAAATCATTGACGTTGTGGCGGTGGAGAGGTGATCCCTCGGACTATATTGCGCCGCAGGGCGACCGGCGTGGTGGTAGGGAAGATCATGGTACGCTGTTCTACTTGAGGGGCTGTTATTATCAGGATAGATGATGTCTAGCACTTGGTGGACGTGCCTTCTTAAAAAGTAATTGTACTAGTAAATCCGCTCGTTGTCGATGATGTTGTGTTGTTTTTCAGGCGGGGCCACTCACGCCTCTTTCCAATTGAACATTTGCTGTCGAAAAAAACTCGACATTCGGGAAAACTTAAGCATATAAATAAAGTCGTTGTCGACGGTGATTGGCAGTGCGACTTCGGAGTCTATCGGAGTTGGCAGTATTATCAAGCCTAATGTACTTATCGAGCCTGGAGATCCGGAAGTCGCTTTTGTACTTTACACTCACAGCTTCATCATGACTATTGTGTCGCTTTTCCTCTGCATTTCTCTACTGTGCCTCTTATTCACTTTCCTCGGATCGATTCGGGCTCGTCGACGTTATCCCCCAGGTCCGCGCGGACTTCCGTTGGTTGGGAATGCGCTTCAAATCCCACAGGATCGCCAGTGGCTCAAGTGGGCCGAATGGAAGGGAAAATATGGCATGTTCCCGACATCTTAACTCAATATTAATGAGTAAACTTGAATGGGGTCTGGTAGGCGACATCATGCGAATATCGATTCTGGGAACACCTGCGATTATCCTGTCCTCTAAGCGGGCCGCAACCGATCTTTTAGAGACTCGTGGTATGTTCTTCCTTGTGAGATTTATTCAAAGACCTGATGTACAAATTCAAAGGCAACATATATTCTGATCGGCCGACCGCGACCATGGCTGGGGAACTGTATTTCAGAAAATCCGTCGAGGTTGAAGATTCACTGATTATGATACTATCCAGAGTCGGATGGTCGCGCGGCTTAGGCTATGCTCAAGCGTCCCACAACCCCCGGTTCCGGGAACTTCGACGGCTCTTCCATCATTTCATGGGCCCCCGAGCTTGTGCTGATCCCACCCTCCTACACATCCAAGAGCGGGAGAACAGAAGGTAGAAAAATAATTATCAAACATCGTACTGGTTCCTGACGCACAAAAGCCTCTTGCGCAAGCTATTATCAGACCCCGACAATTTTGACGCCCATGCGAGAGAGTGCATTACCTACTATTACTCGCTCCCTCTCCAGGATCTGAGAATAATAAATATATCAGGTGTACATCTTCACTCATCCTCGTCCTTACTTACGGCTATCCATCGGACGCTGGGGATCCTCTGGGTCTCGTGAAAATCGCAGAAAAGGCCATGGAAGGCTTTGCGGTGGCTTCAGAACCTGGAAGGTGGTGGGTTGACAGCTTTCCGACCCGTGCGTTTACAAACAGTACAAAAATTCTCAGCCTAACCGTTTCCCAGTAAAATATCTCCCATCGTGGTTGCCTGGAACTTCTTTCCAGCAAGCGGCGCAACGTATGCGCGTGGATCTCGATAAACTCTTCGAAATTCCGTATAGATATGTGAAGGACGAAATCGTGTGTGCATGTCATTTGTGTTCCATACATTTCTTTTATCTTGTTTCAGACCGAAGGCCGAGCAAATCCGTCCTTCTTGCTGAGCTACCTTGAGGTGAAGAACGGTCAGGAAACTCTGGAGGAGGAAGAGCTTGTCCAGGGGTTTGGTGCCGCACTGTATTCAGGCTCGGCTTGCCTTTATGCCCTACCTGCCTCCCATTGACGCCCCTTTCCAGGTGGTGCAGAAACAGCGAGTCCTATCCACCATAAGCCGATAAATTCTGACTGACTGCAAGTTCAGACACCTTCGGCTCTGACCTCGTTTATCCTGGCCATGGTGCTGAACCCCGAGGTTCAGGAACGGGCGCAAGCGGAAATCGACGCACTTCTGGCGGGCTCTATTCGGCTGCCGACTTTCGAAGACCGCGATCAACTTCCCTATGTTTCTGCGATTGTGAAAGAAGTTTGGAGGTGGAATCCAAGCGTTCCGCTTGGTCAGTTAACGTACATGACCTGATCTAGCCCTTGCTAAAATGTCTCCGAAGGGCTGCCGCATGTAGTGACTCAGGACGACGAATATAGAGGCTACACAATCGAGAAGGTAATTCGCCCAATCGCACTCCGCATAGTCTAACACTTCGTAAGGGGTCGATTGTGTGGGCGAATGTTTGGTTGGTGGTCAATAATTCAACATCGTGTCAACTACTATATGGCGCTGGGAACCTGGGCACCTTAGGGTTTTGACCTGTTCACAACTCCCTCAAGAATGTTTGTGAATGTCTGAAAGTCCTAGATTGTAGGCGCGCATCCTGGGAACAATTTAAGCGTATTTGGGACACATTTGGGGACATTTTGAGAACACAGTGAATTTAGTTCGGACGAAACTCCCGAACAGGCAATTATGGGGAAGCTGGGCACCCACGCAAATCCATTGTTGTCGGCTCATTTAATACCATTATGGTGCTCTATGATGTTCAGGAGATCCAACTACAATATTTTAGATGGTAAAAGGGCACGTTGGACCTAGAAAAATGCTACAACTGAGTGCTCCCAATGCCAGGTGCATGCAACGGGATCCAAACTACTGATCAAACGACGGCAGCGCAACAGTGAGAGGGCGTACTTGCCCAAAATAAGCTTCACAGAGCTTCATAATAACTCGACCAAGATATTAGGACCCGTCGTTGCACTTCTGAGTCGAACTGTCGAGAACCCGGCATTTAGACATTGGTACTTGAGAAAATGGGGTGATTTGGTGCATGGTCAACGTTGAGAGAGGTATAAAACAGATATAATAGCGGTGTACCTCCGAAATTGAAGCTTTATACATCATAATGAATCAAGTGAAGGTCTAGACCCATAGGGTCAAAGGGCCGTTTGTTATACACGTCGCGGCGGTGAGATATTTGAAGGCACATATTGTTTATTCATGAAGGTTGAGCAAGGAAAGAGTACTTTTTGGAAGCAATTGATGTAGGATACTAGTGCGCGACATGTGACAATCAGAACGAGCCCAAGAACTCGTCAATTGGCCAGGGATTGGTGGAGAAACAGCTGAGATGGCCGCTCGGCGTTAAGGAAATGATATTCTCACCCTCCGGCCCGCGATCAAACCAAGCACAGCTTTCGAACAACGCATCATTCGGCCTCAAAATTTGACATGGATGGTCCTCAGGGGTCGTACTCCCTCCCACAAGTCCAAATCCTCACCATCCGATACTAGTGGTCATTGTATTTGGCAAGTGCCCAGCTTCCTAGTGTGCCCAGCTTCCTAGTCAGATATAGTATTGCTGAATATTTCTAAGGGCAATTCTCCACGACGAAGAAATATTTCCCGAGCCTCTTGCATTCCGCCCGGAGCGATACCTCTCGGATTCTGGAAGTCTTCAAACGGGGCAGGATGACACAGCTGGGTCGACTGTAGCCGCCGCATTTGGGTTCGGACGCAGGTGAGCACATGTCCCATTGCCAGATTACACTGATCATGCTGCTACGGCAGGATCTGCCCCGGTATGCATATCGCTGAGAACAGCGTGTTCATCGCAATAGCCACCATGCTCTACGCGTTCCGGATCTCCAAACCACTCGACGGGCAGGGCAAGATGCAGGACCCCGCGGTCGAGTACGATGGATTCATTAGGTCCGTGTCCCGGAATTCTATGGGTGTTCGGGAATTGAACAAACGTTGGCTTAGCCATCCACGGGCGTTCAAGTGTAAGATCGAACCACGATCCAAAGAAATCGAGGCCCTGGTTCGAAGCACGGAATTCGGAGACGGGCATTAAAGGAGTTGACTCTAT